ACAGCATTCGGTGAAATGTGTCGATACATATACTACGGGTCACCTGATATTATTGAGTAATTTTAATTAGAAATGTTGTTACAAAAATTGAACTATAAATGGAATTAGGGACTTGCAGTTGTAGTAACTTCTGGGTGTTGCAGGTACTGTCTCATATATATATCTGTAAAATATTTTTGTCATGTGGTCTGGACGCATCTTGAATTTCTGGGCATTTGTTCCTTATAAATACTTTAATTATTCAACTTGATATTTTGCGTGTAGCTGTATGACTGTTATGAAGAAATAAATAATTTCGATCAGTCATGTGGTTTCGATGGATCTTTGATTACCAACAAAAAATAATAAAAGTATGGGTATTTGTTTCTCATGAAATCATTAACCACTCAACTTGATATTTTGTATATGACATGTATGGCCACATCTTCTTTCGCCTTCATTTCAGACAATTTGCCAAAATGTAATAATCATGTTTCATGAAGTTTTGTCATGACAATTTGTATAGATTTATAAGTAGATTGCATCGACAGTTTACAGTAAACTAAAGCAAAACTGCCTTACTAAGATCACTATTTTTTCTTATACCCTACAACAACGTATGAATTGCGCCATCGGTGATTACATTCTAAAATCCTTCTGCTTTATTACATAGCTACGTGTTGTATTACCACTTGTGAAATATCTAAACCTATAATACATGATGTATATGGAGAATTATTTAATAATATACGTTGTTTCCAAGATACCAACTAGAAATGTGTCAATTGCTGTTTTCATTTTTCCCTAAAAAAGACGAAATCATTTTATTAATACAATTGTACTAGGTGCTTTATTTTCATGGCCATTTATACAGACTTGTTTTTGATGTGAATACTTGAGTATATCGACGTGGATAATGGGTTTCCTTAAATATAATATTAAATGTAACTCACAGAAATACTTGCACAACTGAATTGTATGACAACCTTGATTATATTTATTGATACATATTCATAGCAGATTGAAAATAAATGTCATAGAATTCT